GTCTTATTGATGTTCGGATCCCTCTAGACTTTTTTCTAAAAATAAAAAAATCATATATAAAAATATCAAAACTTAGGACCGCCTAAAGATTTTTTGTTTCTACAAAAAATAAATTAATAGTACGTTTACATTGTACCGGATTTAGTTAACCCAGTGGGTTTCAATCGTCAATTCCATGGCTCATTTGTCAAAAAAATCCTCAAAAAGTGGGTTAACCCTGAAAAAAGTTCTAATGTAAAAGCCGTTTAATCCTCAGAGAAACCTGAAAAATAGGGAAAAATCAATCGTCAGGTAATTTTTTTTATAAAAAGGACTTATTCCTTATGAACCTTAACCCATGAACCTCAATCAGAAAAAATAATATACTCAGACAGGCGGAGTTCTCAGTATACTTGAGGGGGTTTTTAAATTATACGGATAAAATGACATTTTTTCTGTGGGGAAAATAGACCTAAAAATAAATCTAAAAAATCAATCGCCAAGTTCAGCTGAGTATTTTTGGTATAAAAATTACATCATTAGAACCACTAGACATATTTAAAATACTCACCCGAGTATCTTTTTTTTTTTGTATAAAAAATCAATCCTCAGGACCACTAGACGACTTTATATATCCTTAGACTGTCCTATCAGAAAAATCGGAGGTATTTTTTTAATAATATTAGTCCAAGTACACTATAGTATTTTTTTATAAAAAATCAATCCCCAGTAATCTTAGACGAATTTATCAATCTTTAGGTAGTCCTATCAGTTCTCAGGTTTCTGTAAAAAATCCTTAGACAGGTATTTTTCTATTGAAAAAGGTCAGGCATAGAAACTTCGGACAATTTATTTTTTCTTTAACGACCTTCGGAGAATTTTTCTTTCTAAAAAATTAATTAAAAAAATGGCCTTCTATTCTGAAAAGTGTATCCCCAGGACTAACTAATATGTTTCTTTCAAAACGAACAGTCCTTATAACCCATTAGAGTATTTTTTTATAAAAAGGAAATTTTTCTTCGAGGCCAGTCATTGGTACCTTTGGATTCATTTTTTTCTTTAAAAAATGTATCCTCAGGATATTTTTTTCTGTGAACAACAAACGTGTTTTATAATAAACCTCACGACATAAGGGGAGGATGTTTCTTTCTATAAAAATAGATTTTGTAAAAAAAATAGTCCTCAGGATCTACAAGACGATTTTTTCCATTGAAGACTTTAATTCTAAACCGTGTATCCTCAAGACTAACTGATATGTTTTCAACGAACATTCCTCAGAATCTTTTTTTTTTATAAAAAAGGACATTTAGGCGGAACTTAAACGATTTTTTCTATATATATTTTTTTCTAAAATGTGAATCCCCAGAAAACGAACATTTCTCAAAATTAATAACAATATTTTTTATAAAAAGAGCCTTTGGAAGATTTTCTATAAAAAAATTAACTACTTTTGAAACCCTGTAGAGAAAATAAGACTTCAGGACACTGAGTGTATTTATTTCCTAATATTAACAAACACCGGGGGATTTGAGATATTATATATATATATATATATAAATTTGAACCTGAAAGACGTATTTATAGATGACTTGAGTGTTAGCTTAATAGACGACCTTTTAAATGACCTGAAAGTTGACCTTCGGGACTATCTGAAATCGCCTAAAGACTACCATTTTAAAGGATCTGAAAGTCTACTATAAAAAAAAACTGAAAAATCACCAAATTTCTAACCTGAAAGTCGTGTTATAAGCTAATTTAAGAACCAAAAATTTTTTGTTAACAAATGTGTATTTTAAGGTTTTAATTTGAACATTAGTTTTGAATTTTGTGTTAAATATTGTTTTTATTCTTAATTTTGCTTTTGTGTATGTGTTTGTGTGCTTTTATACATTTTGAGTTTGCATATTATTTGATCTTTGGTGATTTTAGCTGTATGGTCGTTTCAACAAAACTTTAGATTCCATAGAGCTTTATTACCAAAAACCAAATGATGTTTGCGTTTTATGTTCATCATTTTTATTTTATTTAATAAACGCCTGTGAAATTTTGTATTACAAAAATAAATAAATCAATAAAAATTCAAAAACAATTTCTAATATGTTATTTTCCCCCTACAGATCGTGCACGAGACCTGGTCGATTCCGCCGCTGCCTTAGAGATACGTTCACCGAAAGCCAAACGGCCCCGCCAAATGTCCAGCAATCATAGTGGCAGTAACAATCTCGACGATTCAATATCACGCAATTATTGTTCACAGCCACTGCCAGTATTTCGTAACGACTTTGAGGCTCCTGCCAATCCACAAGAAGCTGATAATTTACCAGCAGCAGCACGGGAACATCGTCTCGGTTTCTGTTTCTCACAACCGGCAATGTTGGACGATTTGCTGCTGTGTACACAAATGAATCAGACACAATCGGCATCACAGAATCTCTTCCAACGTTTAGTTAGACGTATGACAAGATTCTTTGTGTCCACGCGACACGATGACACCCTAAAGCGTCTAGTGGCCACAATCGAAAAACTCGGCTATACCTATAAAATATGTGAAGATAATTTGGTAGTTACCATCAGTACGATTGATAAATCGAAGCTGAATTTAGTATTTAAGGCACATCTTATTGAAATGGATGGTAAAATTTTATTAGATTTCCGTTTGTCGAAAGGTTGTGGTTTAGAATTTAAACGGCGTTTTATACGAATCAAACAGTTGATGGAGGATATTGTGCAAAAGGGACCGGTAACATGGCCCATTGCAATTGCCACTAATTGTGTACCCTAAGAATGGGGAGATGTTTTTTTATTTCTGTGTTTAATAATAAGAAGAAGATAATTTTTGATGAAATGTGTTTTTTTTTTATTTTGTATTTTGTTTTTTCATTTCCTATTTATTTTTAAGCAATTTTTTGTGTGTACTCTTATTCTGTTCCTATGTGTATTGTTTATTTTTTCCCCGAAATTAGTTTGATTTATTAGATGGTTCTACAATAAAAATTTAAATTTCAAATAAAATCATAAAAACAAAGATACAAATGTGGAGCTACTGAAAGGGATTTTTCATAGATGTGTGTATTGTCTCTATAGAATTTTTTAAAGACAAAACCATTATCGATCAGAACGGTGTTGTATAGGCTCTCAACTTTGTAGATGTCCAGTGGGTTATGGAACCGATCTTGGCCTTGTGGCTAGGTTCCCATTCGCGAAAAAAATAAATTGAAATATACATCAGGGATATATAAAGATTATTTATAGGTGATCAGAAATTTAAATGCCACACCAGGGAAGTTGAAGGAAATAAGACGGCATTTTCCTATTAAACCCTCAAAGTCATATTTCTTAGCCTTTAATATCTTTATAAAATCAATACCAAAAGTGTTGTATTTTATAGACAAAAAGGAAGATATAGCAGTAGTTATAGAAAGAACAAGGTTGTAGTTCTCACAAATGATCACAAGAAACTTAAAAGTCGATCAGACTTTCGCCCATAAAGTATTCCAAAACATCGTCTCCCCATATAATCATAATCGTGGAACTTTAATGGTCCAAAACCTCAATTTATTAACATAATTAAAAGTCGTGAAAATCGAACTAAAATCGGATTTAAACCCTTCCTTAATTCATCAAAAATTCAACTCTAACATAACTTTATACATGATCTGGAATCCGGTTCATTATACTTCGAATCAATTCAGTCGTCATTTTCTTTATATGTGAAATAATTTTGGAAGGAGTCTTAAATTTGATTCGTAAATATGCCTACCGCATTTCCTTTTTCCAACTTTTGTTTTCTTTACGATTTCAAATTCCTGCTTATCATTACACTGTTCCTACACCACAGATTTTTCAGCTTTCTTTATAAATATAATTATTATCTTGTATTATGTTTTTAAATTCTTTTAAATATTGTCACAAATTTTGTTCTAGTTGTAATTCTTTTAAAATTAAATTTCTATTTTTTTTTCTTTAAAGCCCTTTAGTGTTTATTTCTATTGCTTAAAACGTATAATAAAATTACATTAGGCAATTTTACTTGGGGCAATTGCTAGTTTGTGGGCGAGAGTGGTTAAACTCCTCAACTCTCTCACCTTTAAAATTCGGAATTGAGACATTTAATATTGCCAATGTAAATCAGTACTTATCTAAACTACAAAAATTGCCTTAAATGTAGACTTGTTGTTTTTTCTTGTACGAATAAACTGTGAACAAATAAAATTATATATTTTTTTATAAATAAAATAAAATCAATTATGTATTTAAATTTTAAACGATCTGGCAATTACGATAGGTAAGTTGACGCGAGATAAATATCATGAGTTATTTAAGTATTTGAATATTGTAATATTTTGATCAATATAAAACATAACAAAATCCATCAGCCGCTGATTAGAGGAGGTTTTTCTATACTCTTAGCCTCCAAACATTTCGAAGAATGCAATGTGATATTGTTCTATAGCATACGGAAGAAAAGGAAGCCTCAGTATATTAATCTTACGATGATGATTTTATAAAATAATCTTCCTGAGAAAAATTCTCATAAGATGAGAAAACTTTTTTGTGTAAACAAATTTCATCGCCATATACTTCATAAAAGGCGAAATAACATTTTCTATAATTCCATAGGCTGAGGATATATATCAGGCGGCAGCAAAAAAATTTAGCCATTTTTAGTGGGAGATACCAGAAGGGGAGTAGACTGATATTCCCCATTATCGAACCTGTTTTAAGTTTGAAAGAAATATTACGATGTGCACAGCTTTGTTGAAATCGGTTACTCCCTTCGAGAATTATCGTGAGCACCAGCCAGACAGATACATAGAAGGGCAGACATTTTTAAATGGACTCCATATTATCTCAATCGAATTTGATCCAAAGCAACATTGGGTCTAAAAACAATACTTGGATGAGACCAGCCAGACATACACAGGAGGATGGGCAAACGGACGCACATTTGTAAATCGACTCCAAATTAACTGAAACGGATTTGGTGCAAAGAACCGTGGGGTCTGAAAACAACTATTTCGATGAGGCACATTTTTGCCGTAGCAAAGTGTATAGGTACACCCACACATTAGCCATAAGCCATAACTGAGTGTACAAAGATATGACCGATCGAGAACAGGATATGCCATTCTAGACTCAATACGCTATAGACAATTTCGTATAAATCGAACTAAGAAGATAGGGCGGAGTCTACATTGTTTACATTTCAAAAAAAGTCAATATTTAAAATATCTTTGATTAATGTCAATTTTCTATTATATAGCATAAGTTTATATACTTATAGTCTATATGGAATAAAACTTAAGAATTCCCACGAACCATTTGTGCAAAATTTAGGAAAATTTGAATTCAAATGCAACTAACACAGCGACTGCTTATTATTTGCATTTGAATTCAGTGATGTTCCGAAATATACTTACTGTTCGGTGCTGGGCTCCTATTACCTGAAAATGAAAAATCATCCAAAAATCGGTCAACGAATAGGGCGGCAGTCGACTGACACTACTTACTTGTTAGTTATAAAAAATTTTGGACATTGTCACATAAAAACCAGACTTTTCTGTTCGCCTAATACATTAAATTTTTGCTACATCATTATCATCATTGACTTGACTAGATTTGTTACCTTTTTTATTTTGTTCATAATATCAGTTTTTCATGACCAGTCAATCAGAAAGTGTAACCGATAGCTTTGTCCTTTCTTGATGTATGTAAAATAAAATCATGTTACTAAAAATTACATTGGTATGTGTGAGTATTCAATTTTAACAATGTTGCCAACATTATTCAACATCCGCTGAAAAAATCGCAGAATTTAAATCGCAAAATTAAAACGCGCGTTTTGTTTGCTGTTTTTTCTTTGCACCTGATACTCTGTATAATGGGGAAGATGAAAGTGGTTTATATCTATCAATCAATAAAACCAGAAGAAGAATTCATTAGGCGAACAGAATTAAGGGACATCTATCCTGCCAAATGCCTTTTATTTTTCTGTGTGCCTGGTACAAAGTGCATCAGCTAATTTTTTATTTCCAATTTTACCTACATATTGCCATTGATATTTTTGTATATGAAGTACTGGGCGAACAGTAATGGTAAGTAGCATGTATATTTCTCTCGGTATCAAAATCATCATCGGCGGATCATGGATTCTTACCATCCGATCACATCCTGCGTCCCTGATACACTTCTTAAGGAGTTTTTTTATTTCCCTTATTTCCTTGCTAACCAAGTATCATTTATTAATTGTACCAATGTAATAGGCGCTCAAAACTATTAGATATGATTACATGTAAAATAAAATGTTACCAAAATTGCATTGTGGTATATTTAAGTATTCGATATCAACAATGTTGCCAACTTGTAATGTTTCAAAATCAGCTGGCTGTAGTAATCGCAGAATTTGTGCAGGAAAATAGTAGACTGTTTTATACTTTTTTTCTGTGCACCTGATACTTGGTATATTGGGAAAGATGAAAGTGATTTTTGTTTTGTTTTAGGCGCTCAGAATTAAGGAAAAATCTATTTCCCAAAGTGCAAGCAACAAATGTCGGTCAAATGATTTTTTTTGTCCTTCAAGATTTGTTTATTTCCAATTTTGACCACCACCTGTCATTGAAATTTTTGTATATGAAGTACAAGGCGAACAGTAATGATAAGAAGTATGTATATTTCTCACTGTATTTTAAATCAAAATAGGAAGATCATAGACGATCTTATATACACTTGCATCATCCGATCACATCCTGTCCGCCTGATAAAATTTTTTAAACAGTTTTTGGATGATTGATTCCCCCGTATTCCCTTGTAAAGTAAGTATGGGAGGATAAATAATATCAGGTACTCATAAAAACTGACGGTTAATTAAAACACACAAATTTTTCTGAAAATAAACTTAGAGGGGAGAAATGAGTGGAGAAACTGGATTGCAAATATATGCATTAATTGTGTTTTGAATTCCAGGCAATCAGAAAATGTAACAAGTAGCTTTCTTTTTTCATGACACAAAAATTACATTGGTGTATGTGGGTAGTTGGATTTCAACAATGTTGCCAACATGAGATATTGTAAAATCAGCTGAAATTAATTACAGAATATGCACCCGTCACATTTAGAAGATGCCGTCAATCTCAGTTTCCAAAAATTTAAAAATTTGAAAAACTTTTGAAGTATGGTGGAACCAAAAGTACTTCTCAAGACTTTTAAAAAGACTGTCTGGCACGATTATACAAAATCTAATGATTCAATCGGTTCCAAATTTTAACACGTTACTCTAGAGTCTTGGACATACATACCACTCATATTGAATATGATAAATCTATTCCAATTTAAGGGAAATTTAGATTTTCCGAAAAAAACTCAGGGAAAAAATCTGACCTATTTCAAAAGAGGTTGGATATTTTTGGAATATATTTCTTCTATATTATTAAAATTAACTACAAAAATACAACTACAGATGTACCAAAGGGTTTTTGGAAATTCGAACTAATAGTATCCGAAAAATTCTAAAATGTACTACATTTGTAACAAATTTTGAGCTAAAATTCGAATCAAGGTTGTATAGAAGTAGGGTCGATATAAGCAGATGGGGTTGTGGAGGGTGTACTCATGTATACAAAAAGGATTAAATAGTAAGACACTTGGTACAATTTGAATTTGGGTGAACCGATAGGGCTGGAATTCTAATATTTGAAATTATGATTACTGTTGCAGTGTAGGATTGGGGTATGCTTCGGAAATTCGTACTTATGTGTATAGTTTGGCTAAATCGACAGTGCTGGAATTC